TTGTTTTTTAGCTTGGGAGCACATGGCCATAGTCCGTGTGAGAAAAACAAGACAAAACGACTATTTGTCATTTATAAAGATTTAGAGTTCCAAGCTAAATTTATTCTGCTAATAATTTTGTAAAATATATTTAAACATTTTCTGAATTATCACTATGGAAGATTAGTCACTGGTGGTGCCTTTTATAGAGGAAATTACTGTATGTTAAAGGCCTATGTGAGAGTTCCAGTATTCTGACTAACATTCCAGATAGGGTTAAGCAAGTAAAAATACAAATCTAATAAAATGCTTGCTTTGCTTCCGATCTTGGTGCAATGGCTTCAAATGAAATACAAGGCAGTGCAGACAGTGCGATGCAAACCTTGAGAGGTATTAATGAACTAATGCTGTGAAATCTGGTGTATTTTCATGTAATGTTTATATAAATATACTTTATGTAAAGATGTAATGCCAATAAAATGAATTAACTTCTCCTTTGAAATGTGTTTGTATATAAAGTAACTTCACCGCCAACCAATCACAACCTGCTCCCTTATCTGACAACCAATTCATTCATATTCCCTGCTTTTAACAAACATTAAGTCCATCACAGCAGCAGAACCTTCAGCCATTTTAAAGGTGCTCTGTGTAACATTTCCGGTGGCCACCTGGTTGTTACCATGACAATGTTATTGTTTTAACTGGGATGTTCCTTTATATGGCATTAAATATCAATCTCCATCATAGCAGTTAGCTCAACCACGCCGAGTTACAAGTCAGATATGTAGAAAGGCACAGTAACAGGACTTGTTGTACAATTAAAATACCTGTATTTAAATAAACACAAGGTAGAATGTTCAATATTACAATGATGAACATTACATCTCCCAGGAGACAAGCAGATGGCAGGAAGAGATACATACTGCATCCTTATTTTACCATAGCTATCTATCTATCTATATCTATATCTATATTCTCTCTCTCTTTCTCCATATATATATATATATATATATATATATATATATATATATATATATATATATATATATATATATATATGGCTTGGACACAGCAATTCTTAGCAATGGGGAAATTAAATCATAAATCATTAGAGATGGTAATTACACATAGTTGTTGTTCCATTCTCTTTTAAATATGCTCAGTAAACAATAATGGTAATTTGTTCGGGCACTGAACTAGAGTATCACTGGCCCATTTAAAGACACGTTTGTGAGAGTTTTTTTGCAGTCTACAATCATTATCCTCCCTTGCATTGTTGAGAATATTTCTGTCTTGTGTATTCAAAAGTACTTGTGAAATGTGGGTATTTTTATGCAAAGCGAGTGAGAGAACTTCTGAGAGTGCCTTGGTTTAGGAGAGCCTATGAAATGACTTGGAATAACTAAATCAGGGTGTTGTGCAGTGTGCTTGTGTGTGCACTCACTTTTTATCAGCACAGGGAGACTTGTGGAGCCGTTCCTCTGGGCTTTTTCCATCCCTGGTTTCTTCTTCCAGATGTCGGTGGGCTGCATCCTAATTGTGTGTTCCTCCTGAGTGCACTGCGGTGGTATGAGAACAAGGTTATCACCCAGAGGAAATTTAAAGGTGCATTATGTAACTTTTGCGGTTGAGGGCCCACCAGTTGCTTGTTTCCATGGAGACATTTTTGCTTTGCCTGCAGTGTTCCAAAGTATGGCATTAAATGTATACATTTTCATAGAGACAAGCAGGAAACGCCACCAGGCCAATTTACTGGTGAGATCTGTGAAGAGGCGACACCACTCCCAGTAAGAATGCATGTTTTTTAAAGGTATTTTAGAGAAACAAAAACACCCAGAATTGAATAAATACATCTTCTCTAAGTTTAAGACCATATTGTGGAACATTACAGGCGAGGCAATAGCATTTCCATGGTAGCGAACCCCCAACCTGAAAAACTGCGCAGTGCACCTTTAGCACAGTGTAGTCAGAAGCAGAGAGCAGTCAAATATAAGACAGATAATGTGTGATAGGATGCTCAGTAAAATCACTGTACAGATTGTGATTGTCAGGGGAATTTATTCAAATTCATAATCTAGCACAAGGATGTAAGAAATTCATTGTTCTAAATATACAGTTCTATATAAAGAAGAAGTGCATGAACTTTAAATGAATGTTATGTGTTGTTATATTTTTGCACAATGAAACTTTTCAGGCTGAGGGTCTACCATCAGCTTGTCTCCATGAAAATGTTAGTGCTCTGCCTGGAATGTTCTACAATATGGCATTAAACAAATCTATCTTGCATTTATTCAATTATGGCTGTTTTTATTGCTAAAAATACCTGCAAAAAATACGTTCTTACTGAGTAGTTATGCCTCTCCACAGACCTGACATGTACCTTGGCCTGGTGGCTTCATCTGCTTGTCTCCATACTGTGAAGCATCCCAGGTAAAGCAATAACATCTACATGGGAACAAACAGGGGATAGACCTTCCACAAGAAAACCTTACATGTTGCATCTTTTCTACTGAACCAATTGCAAAAGGTACCTGTTAACTTGAAAATGAACACTTAATGACATCACAAAGTGGAACAGAGCATTTTGAGCTTTGCAAATGTAGACACCAATACTGTAGGATTACTCAAACATGTGTGAATGAAACAAAATGCAACTCCAGGCATGTTTTTGAGAAGGTAACAATATTATAACACAATGTAAAGTTCACAAAAATCCATTTGTGTAATATAGGATCTTTAATGTTTCCATTACTTTTTTGACGATTGTTATTCTATTCTATCTGGATCTCATTCCCCACAAGATTACAGATGAAATTGTTTTTAGATATGCTTACAGAGTGCTGGGCCTGTGCCTTGTCTGAAACTATACGAGTGGACATTTGCAGTAGTTCCCCCCTGTGGTTAGACCGTGGCTATAGCAGACCTGCGCCGCTGTGTTCAGCCTTGTTCATCCAGCCAGATAAACTAACAGCATGTCCTCCAGCGCTCCCTGCCCACGACCACTGACCTGCACTACCCCATATAACAACCCAAAGACCACTACATAATGAGGCATGCTCGAATAATGCAATAACTTAAGTCCACAGTACGAAAATCCTGCCCCTCTTTTAATGCTTAGGTCTATTATCTTTGCTGTTCCTATTTTAGTCTTTAGTTAGTTGGTCAACTCAAGCGTGAGCCCAATTGCTATAGCACTGAGCCTGGAGCCACTGTCATCGGAAAGAGGAAAGATGTTTTATGTAAACACTAATAAAATGTCCTACTTGCCTGTTGAGTGTACTCAAGGACAGTTAGTCAAGCTTGTAGGGAAAGAGCCTGAGCCACACGTGTATGCACATATGTACTGTCTCCATATGCACAAACCATACCAATGCAAAAAGAACTATTCACAATGCATTATTTCTCACAGATAGAATGAATAGGGGTGACTCAGATTGTATAGTGCACATCCAGGAAACAAAGCCTGATATCTAGTTGTTGTGTTCACCCATATTATAACATATATTTGAATTAGTGAAAATGACTGATGAAGTGAAGAATTTATATTTTATGTATTCTTGTTTTTGTGTGGAATTTGCTACAGTGCATCTGTGTATTTCAGTATTTATTACATTGCACAGAAAATATCTTAAATTAGTAGTTTTTGTTCAGATTAATCAAACTCACCAGTGAAATGAGTTGGCTGAATGTCTCTCCCCATGTCCATACACCAGGTATTGTAACATTAAAAGCAAAAACAATCTCTAAAGCATAATGGGACTAAATGTTTGGGTTAACAATATCAAGAAAAAAGATTAATTAGAATTAGACACAGACATTTCCCACATGTGATTTCATTTATTTTGCAAAATGTTAATTAAAATCTCACTCTCCAACCATCACGGTTCATCATTTGCCAGTGTCCTAAATGTTTTCAGGCTTCATTCCAAATTACTCAGCTGCTTAACCCACATACAAACAGACACAGATGCACAGGAGATAGAGTGACATACCAGTGGTGATTTCTTAGTAATGCAAAGTCTGAAAAACTTTGAAGTAAATTTGAAATCTCAAAGGGCTCATTATAAATGCATTAGTGTCCCATGGGAGTGAACCTGTTGGTGATTATGTAGCCAGAGTGACGGTAATCATAATAAGTTAAAAAGTAAATAAAGGCTGAAAAAGAGAAATATTGTGACTAAAGGCTTCAGTTTTTTTTTTTTTTTATAATTAAAATAGTGTATTATTGAAATCCAAATTTAGTTTTGATTAAATAATACTGCTGTCTTAAATAAGGTCTTTTGGCATATGGTTTAGACTCTGTATAGTCAAACTACCTGATACGATTAACACATTAAGATTATTTTCATAATCAACTATTCATGATTATTCTGATTACTTGTTGCATCCCTGGTTAAAACATACTTAAACATGGTTTCAGAGGATGGGGAATGAATAAAAGAGCTGGAGTAACAGCATAGTAAAAAATTCTCATAAACATAAGAGACTTACATGATCAAGAAACATTGTTGAAAAATGTCTTATACCATATAAATAAGTCATCATTTAATATTGGTAAAATGTTTACCATTAACCTTGTAGCAATTTCTGCAACAAGGCCACAGATCATTTAGCTTTTAGCTGTATGCACTTTCTGACCTAAATTAACATTTCACCTTCGACCCATTGAGTTCTGTAACAAAGCCTCATAGGACCTCTCTTCAAACCAAATGTGATTGATGGGAATGTGCCACTGCCCACTGTCTATTGTTCTTACGCTATAATTTTATTTTCTGCCAAATTATGATTATTTTTTACTTCTTTTGCAATAGTTTTTCAGTGAATGCAGTATGTACTTAGTAGTAGTGTGTGGCCATCGCAAATCCATACAAATAGGAAGATAATCTTAAAGTCAATAGGACCTCCCATCGCCCCCAAAAAAGGGGTGTGTCATTAATATTTGAGGAGTCTTGAGTTTATATTGTTCGCTTGAGACAATGCAAAGCAACCAAGACAACAGTTCATTTCAAAGTGCGGAGACATTTGTAGCAATGGAGACGTTTTATTACTAATGCCTAATTTTTGACCATACAATTCAGAGAAAATAACAAATAATTCAAAATAACACTATTTGTCCTTAAACATTTTTGTTTTGTGCAAATGTTTAACTTCACCAAATATGGACTTGGATAGAAGAAATAAAAAAGAAACTAGCAACAACGAGGTAAGGAACTGTTTACTATATTTTTTATGGTACGTGTTTTGAGTTGGTGTGTCTATAATTACTTTAACATACGTAAAATTCAAGCCACATAAAGTAAAGCCCGTTTTGGAGGATGGGATGATCAAAAGGTACAAGCTAGTCTCCATCTAGTGGCAGAGGCTGGTATAACATACTTTATTAGACAAGGCAATGATTAATGCATAACTATATTGTATTATTATAATATGCAATTTTATAACATTTATAATATTTGATAAATGCCCAGCAATAAATATGTTTATAAATAAATACATATTAATAATAAAAGTGTAAATCTGTTTAAAGAAATATATGTTTATACTGTGAATGCATTGATATGTCCTACACTAAACAATATAATAATAACAACACATACACTATATGCATGTGTTATTTCCCCAGGAGGATGGTCCATCTGTCTGCTGCGGGGTGGACACTGACCACATGTTTGGCCTGGTGGGCATCATAGCCACAGTTCTGAACCTGCTGGTGGTGGTGTTCATCTATCTCTACACACCAGACTGACAATGTGCACTTACGCTAGATTATGACCAGCTGTATGCAAAAATCTGTCTCTTGTAATCTAGCCCAGTGCTTCAAATGTCAGTTTAAGGTTTACTGTTTGTAAATGTTTAATATTTTTAAAAAGAATAGACTACTTGCTTGGCATTCAGTAAGAAATCTACAGTACTCTTTTGGATCATGTTTAAATATTAACTGAAATTACAGGCTCCATATGTTATTGAAAATATGACTAAGAAGATTAATGTGTCAAACATTTTTAAATTTTTGTAGTGTATGTTGTGATGATAAGATGACATGAGGCTCTTGGAATTTTAATAAATGGCTAACAGACAACTTCAAATAATATATTCTTTTTAAAGGAGGAAATATTAATTTGCCTTTTAGTATATTTAGGTATCAAATAATTTATTATCATAAATCAACGCGTGTCATGGACACAGTTATAATTCCCAATATTGTTATTCCTAACTAATTATACTCATAGATATATCAACTTTTTTTCAAATGTGATCCTGGGTAGTAATGTATTATTTTTATGTATTTACTTTTTAAAATCTTACATAATAAAAAAATGTACCTACTATATGTACCTAATATGATTGTTATAATATAGTCATATTTTAACTGGATCAGGATATCGGAGACCTTGCACATTCTGTTTGCCTCACGTTGAGGTCGGGCAGGATTTGGCAGCTGGTGATGATGTCGATTTTCTCTGATACAGCCTTGAGGTCGTCCAGAATCAGGCGGATACTGTGGGACGCGTTGATGATGGCACTCTGAGATGCATTTAGCTGGGTAGTTGCAGTGCGAATCTTGTAAACATAATACAATTAATTTCAATTGATTAACAGCACACTCATTCGATGAGGATCTGCTTACCTCCCTACTGGCATTTCCATAAACATGACGAAGGGCTTGACCCACATCATTGTACAAATGGAGGTTAGACTCCTGCAGCTTCTGTTGCAGCAGTGTGTCACCTAAAATAAAATAATTTAACGCTTTAAGACTATTCCTACTTCACTGAATAAACAAATTACAGAAAAATATGTAATAATGTGTATAAACAAAGTATGTTAATATTTAGTCTCAAACCACAATCTTGATATTTTTTCATCCAAACTGTGAAGAGAGCACCACTGTTCAGCTGATCCAATCCATCTGTACAATTTCTGGTAGCAACAGGACAGGTTGCTACTGCTACTGCGTGCATACAATACAGTGGGTAGCTCACCATGTCGTTGGTGTGTGGGGCTGGGTCTGTCTTCCACCACTGACTGTATATCAGGGTGGTCTCTGACTACAATTAGAGGAGGCAGGTCTCTCTTGAAGATCTGAGCACTCTCATGACTCACTGCAGCGCCCTCAGGTGGCTGCTCCTGCTCGCCCTCGCTGTCTGTTTCTGATGCCTCCCCTGGAACCTGTGCAGAGGTACGGGGAAATGATTGAAGGTCTAATAACCACATAACGCTATAATAAAACAAATGCATATAATATGAGGATGAACCTTGGCTCCCGCTGTGGCAAGTTGAGGTGGAGGCAGAGATGTGATGTACACTTCATCATCCGAATCTGTTTCAGAGGCTTCCCCCTGCACAACTATCGGGTACCTAGACATAACTGCATCACAACATAAAAAAATGAACAAACCTTGCGCTATATATTAATGCTATCAGAATGATAAAGTCATAGAAAACGAGGATATAAAAGTCAAACCTTTAGTACGACGTTACAAATAAGAATCACGTGAGCCTTCAGGAAGTCTATTTTAACAGCCAATCCGATGGCGCGCTTCTGTGTCACGTGTCTTTCGACGTGTGCAGCTATTGGTCGAAGGAAGAGTTCCCGGAAGCAGAGCTGTTGTGGTTGTTGTGTTGCGATAATTTCAGAGATATTTTACAGGTATGTTCATCTAAATCTTTTATCTGAACATATAATGACGTAGATGCCAATTACATGTAAAAAAAGATACACGCTGATGAATCACATCCCATGCACGACTTTTAAAGCAAACCACGCGAAATCAGGCAAGCACCATGCTAGCGTATGCTAGCCAGTTAAAGGGTTATTATTAGGCTGTATGGCAATAACATGTTACTGTTTTAGTATGTTATTTATTAAATTGTAATGTTTCATATCGATGTGTAATTTCAGAAATGGCCGATGAAGTTCTGTTTGAATTTCTCCACATGGAGATCGTTTCACACGTTTACAAGGAGCAGCAAGCCAATAAAGGGGAGATGGACAGCAAGGTGGGCTTGTCTTTAATTAAATAAAACATCTGTGCGTGAGTTTAGAAGACAAAAGACATTCACTGGTGCATTATAACAATAGTTATTTTAATCTTCCTGTGTCAAATAAAGATGACTTTCTGCCCTACTGTACATATGTTGTAGGAAAGAGGTCAGTGTATATCTATTCTGGAGAACATGGGCTTCAGAGTTGGACAAGGAATTATTGAACGGTGCGTGTTACTTCCATATTAATTATGTACATCTATGTTGAATTCTCCTTAATTGCTTGTGGAGGCTATTGCATTATGTTTGTACTGCACAGGCTGACCCGAGACTCTCCTAGCTTTAAAGACGAGCTTGATATCATGAAGTTTATCTGTAAAGACTTCTGGACAAAGGTGTTCAGGAGGCAGGTTGACAACCTCAGAACAAACCACCAGGTAAATGTCCTGACTGAGAGTGATTGTTTGCAATAATGGATAAATGGTTTCATGTGACTGTTCATGTCTGTTTCCAAAGGGCACTTATGTACTTCAGGACAACAAATTTTCTTTATTGACTCAGTTATCCAGTGGGAAGCAGTATCTCGACCAGGCACCAAAGGTTCAATTAAACATTTGAATGAAATATTATACACATACTACTAGTCTAATTTAAAATATTAATGTTAATTTCACCTTTTGTTTGTTTCCATCAGTACCTAGCTTTTTCATGTGGAATAGTGAGAGGAGCTCTGTCTAACCTTGGATTGGAAAGTGTTGTAACAGCTGAAGTGTCTATAATGCCATCATGTAAGTAAGGTTGATAATGAACTAAACACATCACCCCCATTAAACTTCAATGACACTACTGTATTCTTATTCTTCTTCAGGTAAATTCCAGGTTGTGATCCAGAAGTTATGATTTTTTTTTTTTTTTATTTTCTGTTGTGTTTTTTTTTTTAAATCATACTGTATAACAGAATGCATTTTGTTGTGCATTTGGTTTGTTTCAAGAACAGAAGAAAAATGTATTTATCAAATCCATATAACTACATACACTATAATATATAGTGAAAAACATGGTGCATTCCCTGACGTTTACATGTTCACTTTTTAAGATTGTTATTTGACACCAGTTCAAAGAAATGAGAACTAATCCAAATTATGTAGTGGTTACATGTTCTCAAAACACCCTACACCTATCCCTAGTTTGTGTTAAGAAGTAGAATTATTATGTATATTTCATAATGCTTTTAAAATCCCAATCAGATTACATGTGGCCAGTCATGAAGATTAATGTGTGAAATATTTATTAAAGTCAATTAAAAGAGCACAAATGCAATGGTTGTTGTATTTGGTGCATTGTTCACATTATGTAGATACTTTATAGCACCACTAGAGGGACACATGTTACAGTCTGATGCATTTCCTGCTCTGCCTTGGTGCATCTAATATTTGTTCTGGAGTTAAAAATGTCTACGAAAGGGAATACAGTTGAGGTTTAAAATGCTTGTAAACCCCCCATTTTATTTGTTATTTAAGGTGCTATCCAGTTTTGTTAATGCTTTTCAATTTCCTCAAATAATGAAAGTACTCAAAATTAAATCTTTAAATTCTTGACCTCATCAGTTAAATATGATCATACAGTCACATGGTCCTATCTTCCTTTAAACTTGATATGTGTTGAAATAAAAAAAATAAAAAACTCTTGTATTTTCGTCATTGCTATTCCAACTATTTAGTAAACATCTAAACAAAGAATATGTCTTAATATATGCTCAAAAAATTCTAAGCATACATTTTATAGAAAAAAGGACGTAACATAATTGCATCTGACTATCCTTGATTGCCTTGTTTCTTGCAACTCATTAAACACTTTACTCAAATCCTCTCTTGGAGAGAGGGAGAAGAAAAATAGAAATAGGGATTAGCACGGAAAAGTCTTAGGAAGGGGGGTGTGGGGGTGTGGGCTGAACTGCTGGCCTATTGGAAGACTGGAAGAGAAGAGATTTGAAAAAACGAACAAGGGTAAAATGAGGAGAAGAATGAAGAGCTACTACAGGAGGCTCTGAGGGAATGAAAGAACTTTATTAAAGGGGAGGGGACGGGGGGGGGGGGGGGTTCCAGCTGGAAGTAATACATTATATATGTATATACATTACATACATACATTATATATGTATATTTCAAATACTGTAATTTTTACTTGCAATATTTTATTGATGATACACAGTTAAGTACTGGTAAACCGCATCTTCAAGTTCATAAGTAAAAAAGCACCCTCAGAACTTTATTCTTTCTTTCGTGGTCTATGTATAATTGCAATAAAATAATTAGCCAACTATTAAAACATTTGGTCGACTAAGATGCAATGAGCTGGGTAACTGACTAAAAGGCTAAAAAACTACAGCCTTAGAAAGTGGATTATATCATGCAAATGAATAAGATAAAAATTTGCATTGTTCCACTTACTCTGGGCATGACAGATTATGCCTCTGAGATTTTTTTGCGTGTTATGTTTATTAGAGGTCCCATATAACACAAAATCAACTCTTGTGAGCTGTTAGTCATGTTAGAAGGCTGTTACCTCATCAAAAACATACTAGGTGCTGTGTGGTTCATTCACACGTTTGAGTAATCTTTTATTGTTAGACTGACTATTTCTCCAAAATTCAGAATGCTCTGTTCCACCTTATGATGTGTATGAAGTGGTAGTTTTCAAGTTAGCAGCTCCTTTTTTCTTTAGCTCACTAGAGATCGGCAATTCCAGGGCTGAAATTATCCAAATGATTCTAGTGAAGGTGTATGGAGTTTAAAAACATAGTGGAGCACTTCCTGTATTGCCACATAACATCACAAGGTGGAACAGTGTTTTCTGTTTAAGAGAAAAATGTTGCCTAAATATGCAGGATGTATGTTTTGATGAGGATTCAACATCATAACATAGATCAGAAAAAAGCATAATATCGGCCCTCTTTACTCTACCAACCTTTGTAATTAAGATAGGAAGTAATTCTACTAGGCCTGCAATCAACAATTACTTTAGTAAGTAGTCAGCAACTATATTTTAAAATTATCAGCTAAATAAAGGTGGAAATTAACTTCTGATTAAAATAAAATAAAATAAAAAAGACATTTTGATTTAATAATGTTGCTTTGTTATAAAATGTCTTTTGACGTGTGTTTTAGAGTCTGTATATGATACGATTATTATTAAACTAGTCATATTCCAAGTAATGGTGGCAGCCATAGTCTCCACTGCTGCATATATCTGCCTCTTACTGTCACCTTACAGAAACAGGAGAGGACCATGGCCCAGCTGGTTGGATGCTCCACACCAGGAACCAGCGCTGAAATCCGGGGAAACAGCTGTTGATTCCTGCCCACTGTGCTGCACTGATCCTCTCCCCTGGCCTGCATCACAATGTCAAGCCTCACAGTCAACAAAGGAGGAGGCCCGCTGAATGGAGAGGGGAGGGGGACGACCAACTGTGGGGGGAGCGTTTCTGGACCTGAAGAAAGAAGAAGAAGAAGAAGAAAGGAGGTGCAGGTGGAGTTCAACCCAGTATTCATTCTCTCAAATTGATGACTTGCTACAATTCCATAACACTGTCCACATAGACTAGCTGAGGTCTTTTGTATGTGATGGACTGTGGACACTGATGTATTATTGATCTATAGGCTAATACAAGTTATCCTCAAGGGGTCATCTTTACTCTTAATGGGTCATATAGTAATACCTAGGCCAGTCATGACAACAAATTTCTAAAGATATATTACTTTGGAAAATGTTCTTCAGTTGTCAAGAGCTGACACTGACACAATTTTCATATCAAACAAAAAAATCCTTTCCCAAAAGTACTTAAAGTGAACAGTGATAAATGAAATGCCCAATCCAATCAAATATTCTTTGTAGAAACATCTCTCTCTTAATAACTGTCCTGTGCAAAGACAAAGTCAAGAGTCTAGTATTATTTATTGGAAATGAAAGTTAAAACAAAGTTTGACACATCTACTAAACCAAACTAGCTCAGACTCCATGTTGTTTAACTACAAGCTTATGAGCTGAAAATTCTACTCAGTAAAACAAAACATAAAAAAACAACAACTTTGATGTAGCTTGTTGTTCATGAAGAGTTTATTTAATTACAGCTAGGAAAATGTATTAGTTTGTTGACTTTGGGCACAAGAGGTCTCAAGCCTTTCACAAGAGTTGTAAATCTGCATTAACCTAACCCAGGTGCAGGCACCTCACATTGTGTGTGTTCAACATATGTACTGGTTCTCAAAACTATCAAACCAAATTGCAGTTAACAATATTTGGTCTCTATTGTGCTAATTAGATAATTAAAACCTGCTAAAGAAATGCACTATACTGTCAGGGCACTATGATGTTTACAAACACAGGATTATACACTCCCCTCTCTGTTTTATGAATAAATATTAACTTTGGCCATACCCTATTTTTAAGCCTTCTGCCCTTATTTGTAGAAGTTGTGAGTCAACTGTGTGAAACAGAGAGGATTTAATTAGGTGCAAATCAATACACTTTATTACCCTATTGTATAGGACTCTAAAAAGATCTGAGTCTGTTTTCCCAGTGTGCGCTTTAACATGCACAATCCCACAGTCTGACACCCACTTTCATCCACACCCAATTGTCTTTATCTCCTGCTTCTTTTCTCTCTCTCTCTACCCCCGCTTATTACCTTTTCCTTCCCTCAACCGCCCATTCAGCTCTCCGCCACTCATGCATAGTAAAAGTGCGAATCCCCTTTTGCGCGCACACAAACACTAACTTTGTCTCTCCAGGCCATATGTTGACCCGCAGTGGACCTGAATGCGGCCATCTGCCTTGCCTCTCCTCTGTCCCACAGGGCAGAGTGTGGGAGAATGCCTATCAGACACAATAAAGCATGCAGCGCACATAGCTCCAAAGACCCTAACAGCCACTAATCACAGGCAGACATCCAGCCCAGCTCGTATTAACTGTAACAAGATGATACCTGTTGTGTGCAATGGCCTTGGGGAAAACTGTCAGGGCAAGTAACTTTCAACTTTGACAACAACCAAATAATATGTAAATATACTTTTGTTATTACTCCAAACATGACTTATCAATAGTGCAGCCATTGTCTCTTTGTCATATTCATGGGTGACTGATATGGTATCTTTTGAATGGTAAAAAGTCCTCAAAATGTCACCTATAGCAGGATGCTGAAACTCATAGAAAAAAACCCCAAAAAACCTGGCCAGCAGATGTGGAGGAAATACCGCAAGATATAACAAAATTAAGAAATACAATAGATTTCACTCTTGCCAAGAAAATAGACCTAAGATATCTTAATAATGCAGCAAACATAAACAGAAAATTCTGAATTAGAGCTGCGTGTAGAAGTAGTAGTATTAGTACACAAAGTAAAATAGGTGTGGTAGTAGCTGTGATTGTCTTGGTTACAACAATAGCAGTAGCAAATACTGGCAGTGACAATACCAAGAAAGCACTGAAACAAAACATAGAGTTGTTGTAATATAGTAACTAATATTAAATTTTTGTTTATAGACATTTTCAATAGTTAGTAATACTTTATAACTCATTACTCTAAATGGGATTACTACAGTCTAACTTTTGTTTGAATCACTCTAGATTTAGGCCACAGTGAGTCAGCAGATCAGACCTGGCGGCTGGGAGGTGAGTGCATGTAATTGGAGAAAAGCAGAGGATAAAGTGAAAGCGCAGGATAAAGGCAGCGGAGGGTAGAGAGAAGGACAGTTGGATAGAGGACGGAAGGGAGGGAGGAGGAGTGGGGGGGGGGGGGGCAGGACCGGGGGGGGGGGGTGGGGGACACGGGTGGGAGTCTTGAGATTGGTAAGATTAAACCCCAAACAAAAGAGTGCTTATCTCCACATGAAATCTCGCTGGCATGACTACACACACATGCATTTTAACCAGCTGTCCTCCCACTGTTCACAGTATTCTGTAAAAAATCTTGGAATATGTAAAGTATCATAAAGATTTTAAGGCACTTCATAAATATGGCATCTTTAGAGCCAACTCTGAATAGTCCAAAAGCAGAAGAAAGAATTGAAAGGGAACTCTAGCACAAGTAGATTTAAACATTTAAGTATTAAGAGTACCACAGCACAGTTATAGGTTTGTTTTAGTATGGCTCTTTGTAAATTGCAGCAGAAATAACTGCCACATACTCACAACAGACTTAGCATCTGGTACAGATTTGCATAGATTTGGCTAGATATGGGTGGGTCCCCAGTACTGCTATTCAGATAGGAGCTTTGAAGTGAACTGACATTTATTGAGACTATGGAACTGTTATTTAAGTACATTTTTAGAATAGAAAAAAGTAATTATTGTATTTTGGGCCAATAAAAGTGTGTGCTAAAAAACAAACCAAATGAGGTACTGTCTTGGACATTTGATAGCTGTTTCATTCACAACTATTTGGGAACTTCTAAAGTGGTTGACTTGTTTTACTTCAGAGAAACTGTGATCTGAACTCAATTTCATCAAGGCAGCATTGTATGACACAGTATAAATGTTTTATTTTGACTGGCTTTGGGTGCAGATCAAGAGCCATGAAAATGGACAAATTCTCAAATTCAGCAAGTCCATAAAACAATGTAAGTGAGATTCAGTGGTGATTTAAGAGAATTCGTTCACAAAATATCAGATACTGCACCATCAATGTCAAATACCCCGATGTAAAGGTGATTACAAAACAAAATAAAACTCATGAACATTAAAAAAACAAAAACTTTATTTCCAGTACAAAAGAGCAAATGAAACCCAAATATATTAAACTTGATACAAGCATTAACAACTCAAAAGTCTTCTATAAATATGTTAAAATAAATTAAAGAAATTAATTTACTAAAGATTATCACAAACAGCCAGGTAACATTCTAAAACTCTAGGCTAACACTACAGTATGCTGGACCCACACCTGGCTTAACAGGCTGTGACCAGGATGCTAACATTCAAAAAAAGGGGAAAAAAAAAAAAAAAGACAAAATGGGTTGGAGTGAAGAGTCACAAAACATGAATAATTACAGAAATAAAAGTTGAACACCAAAGTTGTGTCCATGCTTATGGAGAAAATGGTCATCAACTCCCAATCCCAGGAATGTCTGTGCTTCACAGTGCATACAATTTATGTAGCACCAAGTTTAGAGGTCAATAAATAGTTGTTTAAATCTTTGCAAGAGAGACATTGGGATTAACAGTTGCAGTCAATAATGCACTTTTTGCAATAGCTTAACTAATTTTAGCTTCATCAACCCGCCCCACTTCACAAACAAATCTACAACTTAAGAATTCAACAATGTAACATGTCCTGCTCTATAACCCAACAGGCACTTCAATTGTATTTAAAAACATTCAGGCACTGAGGCAGAGATGGAAACAGAGCCTCTAACCCCACTGTGTGGAAACAATCTCTCCAATGTTTAAACAATACTGTGTACAGTCAACAGGAAAACACTTCTAAACGCAGGCCATTATCAAACGCTACAAACAGATGTCTTTGGCTTGGTCATATATTAGATCATTCAGTTGATAGAAAAATAGAAATAAAAATACTGGTGTGGTTGGACTCAACAACAGACCGCACTGTGGCCAATCACACTGTGATTACAATAACTCTGTTGCAATTTGCTGTGTCAGAACACTGATGTGATGAAGCATAAACAACTTAACCACATGTTATAAAAGTGTCCATATTATTTTGACATTACACCGATCCTGTTTACATGAAATGGTCAGTCCAGTCTCTGGTAAGGGTGAGTACTGAAGTAGAGTCACTCATGATATCCTTCAATACACTGCATGTGTGAGGCACAGTGCAGCTAAATAAAGAAGGCCGCAGGATCGTCAGGAACAGAGAGCTGACTGAACACAGCCAAGCGTCTGCCACTGGCTTCATTAAGGCCACAGCAGGGCTCCGAGCCACTCAGAGAGCTGCTGGAGCTCCCTCCATCCTGGTCCTGGTCTGACAGAGATGTGTAGGACAGAGATCTGGTGCCCAGGGGTCCAAAGGCTCCTGGGGCCCCTGGGCTCTGCCTCAATGTGGGGGATGAACAGCCTGAATCTGGAGAGGGGAGGAATGGAGAGCGTGGGTCACCTGCAGAAGTCTGGCTTTGTGGGGGCTGGTACTGCTGATGAGCTGGGGAAGCCTCAAAGGCAAAGTCCAGCTCCAGGAAGGCCTGGGACAGCAGGTCAGTGATGTCAGCGCAGGCTGGAGGAGAGGCAGAGGGAGCACGTGTGAATGCTGAACCCGGGTGAGCAGACTGCAGACCCTGAGGAGCTGAGGGAAAACCAGCAAAGCTGAAGCTGTGTCTGATCAGGGGAGGTCTGTTGGAACGCGTGGAGGGGGTCTGGTTTGGAACACCAGTGGATGAGGAAGATGGTGAGGATGAGGAGCGAGTGATGGACTGATTCCTCTCCTCTTCATTGTTGTGCACAAAGTGGCAGCGGATGCCATAAGGACAGAAGCCGATGGTGTGGAAAGTGCGGCATGGCAATGTCTTGTACTTGGGGTGTCTGTTGAGGTCACGCAGTTCATCCATTCCATGTGCAAACTGGCACTTACTTCCATACTTGCAGAGGCCATTTTCAGTGAAAGAACGGCACAGTTCAGTCTTATAACGAGATGAAGTGGAAGATGAGGAGACTGAGGAGGCAGACAGAGAGGAGCTGCTCAAAGCTGCAGTGCTGAGGTCACTTCCAGGCCAGCAGAGACTTGCAGCAGCCATGCTGTTGGTCTCCACCATACTGATAGATCTTTGGGTCAGGAAGCCTGTCTTTCCCCATTGGGTGGAGTTGGGAAGCTGAGGGGACAGAGGACTTTCTGGAGACTGTCTCCATTGGCTGGGAGATGGGAATATGTCTGAAGACTCAGAAGGGCACAGTGAGGAGAGGGAAAAGGATGAGTTGCTCCGCTGACCAATGTAGCCCGGGGTTTTCATGGCCATGGAAAGAGGCCCGTTCTGCTCCCTCAGGTCAAGGCCCAGCAGCTGCTGTAAAATGGAGACAACAACATTAAATCAGCTTAAATTCTTTTTTTTTTTTTAAATTGTAACTTCAAATAAAATATAAATTGAATGAATAAATAAAATAGAAAATCTTAAATTGTACTATGTTTAAGACCGAATTTGTAATGGCCTATTTGGAACATAAATTGAACGCCTACCAACGATTATTGTGAAAACTGAATTCACTAAACACTGTAAACCTTTTTTAGAGTCTGCGTGACAGCTACCTCTACAAGTGAAACTTAAAACCATAACAACACTGCAAAAGAATAACAGTATTGTAGTTGCCCGTCTACAAGACAGCATTTGGCATTAGTCTAGTTCAACTGAGTTTCACACTTGTTTCCGACTTGGACCATCTACTGCAAAACATTTGTCCACATTTACAGCTTTGACCATCTGCTCACAGTTCTGTTACCGTTATCGTTCATATAATAATAATCATAATCCGTTAACAAAGTGTCAACTGAGTACAACAGCGCTTTCTGAATTCTTCACTATTTAACAATGGTGCTACTACACGGCTCAAAATTAAAACAAATCGGACTTTTCTTTCCTCTAAAACCTCAAACTTATATGCAAATAATAATAACCACACTAAAAGTAAGTCACACACAGTTTATATCCCCGATCCAGCACAAAAAGTTACAGAAGAAAACAACAAAGTTAGCAGCGCGGCTAAGCTAACATTGACGCAGCCTGACGTACACAGTTAGCCAACTTGCTCCGCTAAACTTTTCTGCGCTACTTTTCTTTACCTTGCACATCATTTCCTCCAGATCAGTGAACTGGTTGAGAGAGTACGATGGCATTGTGCTGAGTTTTCGAGCTCTTCTTGGCGTGATCCCGTGTGCCAAGCGGCGATGGACCCGTCGGCATGGGTCGATCAGAAGTTTGTGGTTGTGGACGTGCTAATGAAGCCGCGGAGAGGACCACGTGTGGATTTAAAACCTACAGTGCAGCTGGCCCCGCCCACAGCGCTGCCCCCACTTGTTTTTTTGACCAAAGGACCACCAAAACCTCCACGTATAAAGATAATCACCACCAAAACCTCCTAGTCTTAAATGACAAAGTCTCCACATCCATCAGTAAGTAAAGACGCTAGGGTCAAACATGATAAACGTATCTTCCTGATTAGGAAAAAATAGCTTTGGGGGGAAAAGTTGAACAAAATCGTGTTCATAATGTAGCTAACAGTTGCTAATTTAACTAGGGTGACAAGACGTCCCTATTTATTTGCCCAGGACAGTCCCAGATTTGAGCCCCGTGTCCCCTGTCCCAGCAAATTTATACAAAACCATTGATTTGTCCCAGTTTTATTCAAGAGATGTCCCAGGTGTCCCTATTTTTCACCAGTCTGAAGAAAGGCATAAATTGTCATTTGTTTTGCTAAAATACAGAAAAGCTGCTAAAAATGACCAAAACACAAAGAAAGTGTGACTCTACTGAGTCACATTAGTCCCGAGTGCATAACAATTTTCACAATTTTATTATTATCAACCAACCCAAACCGGGGATGTCCCAGTTTTTGATTTTGAAAATCAGGTCACCCTATGCTTGCCAATGCACTTTTTAATCTGAAATGCTCAAGATGATTGGGCATCTATTAATTAGGGGGATTATAGTTTAAGAATAATGAATTAAATATTACATTAGATTAGATTGCGCTTCTAAGCGAAATAATGAAATTGAGTTTATTGATTTTCAAAGGTAAGTATAGTTAAATGTGTGAAAAATACCCCTGCAGTCTCCATCAGATTATACCCTAGTTATCTCTCATGCCATGCCCTATTCAAAACAACAACACAACCCCAGAGAAAGAGTCTGTAAGGGCCAACCACAACAACTATCACTGTCTGACATTTGGCTGTAACCTAAACAGAACGAGAAGAAAACACATGTACTGCTCACACAGGCAAGGGCTGAAGTTTACAGATTTGGAAGACAGGACTCGCACTTCTCTGACTGTAATTAGGATTGTGGCAGTAGTAGCCAGACTGGTCAGTAAACAGAAAAGGTGGCAGTCTGATAGCCTGTCCTTGCACTTTGTTCCAGTTGTTTGAAAAAAAAATAAAATAAAATGAAAAGATACAATGGGATTGAAATGCACAAGTTATTGCAAATTTATGGCCATATCACTACAAGTCAGAAATATTGTCAGATTTAACATTTTTTTCTACAAAAAGATACCAAAGTTTTAACTGTAAAGATTTGATGATAAAGCATAGTTTAAACTTAATTGCTTAAGATTTGGTTTTAACATACAGCTAATTATCTTCTTAATTTTGACCAATGCCATTGATGTCTTGCTATCATTAATATAGCAGATTACGTAGTTTTTTCTTTTTCTTGTTTTACTTTACGGCCAACTGATATGCAAATTGAGCTCAGATCCTGAAATGTTATTGTTAAAATTTATGTTCTAAACAGAGCTCCTCCCTCTTTTTCTCTAGAGCCAAAGTTGCCTGAAAGCAACACAGGGCTAAGAAGGATGAGTTGAACTGAGAACAAAGCCTGGCTAAAAGCTTTGTTTTGCTCCAGCCAAGTGGTCACCAGTAAGTGTATGTTTGTGTGCGTATACATGCAAGTCAGTGCTCGCACAGTCCACACAGACTCTTGCCCCCTAACCCTCATGGGCATTGTCATGATGTAATGCTATCAAGTCTCTGCTTATATCATCAGCTATTGTTCACAACAGAACCATGCATGGCTTTGTGCTTCAACAAGTTGTGGGTTTTAAGTGTTGAGGCTAGAGTGTACTCAAGTAGTAGTGGTCGTGGTGGAAATAGTAGTACTAGACAAGTAAATAGTGCCTTAACTAATAGAACTGATAATAGCAATTAGGGCTGGGCAATATGTAGAGTTATTCTATTATTCTTAGGTTAAGTTAATTTATTTTGAAATAATATAAATAATAAATACTGACAGCCAGAACAAAAATGTGATCATGCTTTTTGATAAATCTACTTGACGCATGCAATTACATTTTAGATGTTAAGTTATCATCTGGAACTTCTTCCCAAATGTTTCTGTTTGTACCATCCCACCAGCGCAGCTAATTGCATTACCAGGTTAAGAATGGTGCTGGTGATATGAATTCCAACACACAAACATCACCCAATTAGTGCATGGTCTTAAGACGGTTGGACTTTGTATGTTTGTTTTTTAACCGTAGATGAAGACCACCGCTGTGAGAGACAAGCTATTAGCAAGACGTCAACAACATAAGTGCCTGGAGGTAAGCATTACCCTCTTGTTCATTTGGTTAGGCACACAAATGTTATCAGTAAACAGGGTAAGTTAAGTTTACTCCTATAAACAAATCTTTACTGGGGGGTGAGTTTGAGGATTACTGAAAGTGGAGAGGGTCTTGGTGAAAACTGAGGTGGTAGTGGTGGGGGAGGGGGCAGAGAGAGAGAGAAGGGTTGAATGAATGAGAGTTTCTTGCTTCTTGCAAAGTCCAGCTGGGCAGAGGGGCCACTGGAGCACAATAAGCTCAACCAACTAACAAACTAATGGCCTGCCCCCATCCCAAAGCACAAGACACACACACACACACACACAGGGAATATTACAGGGCCTGTGAATGGAGGGAGCTTGTTAGAAGGAGAGGAGAGAGAAGGATGGAGGGGCAAGCTTTGGGGCTGTTCAGAAGTAGAAAAAAAACAGAGGAAATGAGAGCAAGTGGGATAAAAGCCTGGTGGAGAGTGGAGGAATATAGCAAAGAGGAGATTTGGACCCCCAACCAGTTTGATGCCTGGACTGATCGGATTGATCTTAGATGTTTTCTTGTTAGTATCAGGCACAGAGTGAAGTGGGTGAAGATATTTACTGACCAAATTTGACCCTGCAGGGCTGCAGTGGCTATTTAGGTTAAAGGTACCTTATGTAACTTTTCCGGCAGAGGGTCTGTCACTGTTTGTTTCAACTAAGATGTTATTGTATGTGTGTGTTTTTGAGCAATGCAATATAAATAAAAGTATAATGTCATTTTGTGGCGTATTAAAATGGCTAAGTAGTATTATAAAAACTCATGACATAGTAGAAATAAATATTGTAGATTAATTTACCAAAATAATCATTTGTTGGAGGTCTACATTACTAACATTATTGGTAGTAAATAGTTGCATTAAAAATGAGTTTTCAGCTTTGGACTTATAATATTATCACTGACATCAAAAACGCCTTTATAGATGCTGTATTATCATGTACTGATACTAAAAGTTTACTGTACCTTGTAAAAATGTGTTCACTACTACAGCTACTTCTGGCTAATGTTTTATAGGAGGCGCTAAACAGTAATTTGATGTAAATGTGTGCAACCAATTTGATGTAAATGTGTGCAACCGTTTGAGTCTCTGGTAATGTTACCCGTACCTATTAGTTACCTGGAGAGCCTGCAGGCACATTTGTGATGTTTGGTGAGTACACATGTGTTGTGTGTTAGCAGAGCTTTAGAGACACCCCTGTACTACTGTAGGCTAATGGGACCCGTCTGGCACCAGGCAAACTTTGATTCCAATGTAAACACAGTGAAAAAGGAAGTTTCATGGCATTAAATCAGCAAAAAACAAACAATTTCAATCAGTTGTATTTATTCATTTCAGTTGTAATCTAAAACAACAAATTAGAAATGCCAAACTCCACTTACACTTTAGCTTTGGGTTATAATAGCAATATATAGTGGTTTATCATACTGAAAGCCATTAACTGATAAGAATAAGTTCACAGAGCCAGCTTACATGTATATGTTGATAAAGTTGATGACATGCTGCTTAGTGATATTGGGCCATAGCCATACTTTCTGTGTTTATTTAGGGCGTGATAACATTTATATTATTTGAGCAAAGTTTAGTTCTGATGTAGCCTTGGTTTAGTCTTGTCCAGGTTCATTTCTGAGTTTGGTGTCAATTGTGAATGAACATGTTGAAATTTTAGAGTAATTTAGTAACATTGTCCCATAACCAAATGTGTTTATGGGTGTCAGCTTCCAATAACATGCAACATTTCTTCTTCTCCCCTTATTATATAGTTTTTTTGTTTTAAATAAATAATCAATATGCCACAATTCTTTTTATAATTCTGAAGCCAGTAGATACATACACATTGATAATTTACACTCATGGCTTTTGTGTCTGATATTGGAAGCATACATGCGCTAATTAAACTGGCTAAAGATATAATTATTATCAAGTATTTCAACATTGTTTTTCATTTGAATATATTTTTGACCATGGATGGTGGAAAAACAATAGCAGGAACAATACTTTTCCACATTTAAAATAAGTATTAAGACTGTAACTTATGTGTTCCATGTTAACTTTAATATCAGATGCCTTACATAAAAACACAGAAGTTGACGGTTCAGTGCATTTATGTCAGTTGGCAGAAGTTGAGACATCAGAATAACAAGAAAAAAACGTTTGTCTGATGTTGCAGAGATAGTGCCGGTTCCCATTTGGTTTTAACTGAATGCAACTGTATCTATGAGTATGCCACGCCACAAGAACTGTACAGAGGAGGGGCTGTGTGTCGCAGGGCTTTTATCATGCTGGGAGGACATGACTGTTTTTCTCACTGTTGTCATATTACACTCTGAATGAATGAACTAGAGCAGACATAACCCAGGGCTGAGCCAAACACTTGTTAAGCTCATGGAATTAACTGAAGCATTAGAGCACATGTTGCTAGCACTGGGAATTTTGCGCTATAGGGCTGCACAATGTATTGCATTTGGATAAAAAATTCTATTTGAGTTTGCACAGTATCTAATGTTCCAATTATTAAGATAGTCTTGTCTTTTTTATGTGCTAGAAAAATATTGTTGTACCAGTTTAGACTTAAACATGTTCTGGCTTTTGAAACAAATTGCAAAACTATTCCTGTTTAGTGCAGAAATATCCAGATAGGTTTACGTACAATTTCAAATATGTACACAGTGACTGACTCAAACTGACTCAAATATTGATCTCATTCTAATTATTTTAAGCTAGATATTAATTACCTCCGCCAAGGAGGTTATGTTTTTGCTGGCGTTTGTCTGTTTGTTTGTTTGTTTGTTTGTTTGTTTTGTCTGTTAGCAACATAACTCAAAAAGTTATGGACCGATTTTGATGAAATTTTCAGGATTTGTTGGAAATGTGAAAAGGAAGAACTGATTTCATTTTGGGGGTGATCCGAAGAAATCCTGGATTCTGGATCACTTTGAAATTTTAGTTAACATTGTGGTAAATGGGGCCAAAAATTTTGTTTCTCAATATCTCGGTTAATTATTGACCAAACCCCATGAAATTTGACTCAGGGATGGACAATGGGATCCTCTTTCATATTCCAAAGGCTGATCCGGATCTGATCCAGAAGACTGATTTTATCGCAATTTATATAAAAAATGGGGGTAGTCCTTGGCGGAGGTCTGCGCTCTCTGAGTGCTTTTCTAGTTTGTAATAGAATAGAAGTATCATCTCACAAGTCACAATCCTGATAATAACTATGTTCAGAAGTATTCAGTAAAATCTGCATATCCTCGATGTCTGATTTCTGACATTCTGATTTTTATTTTCCACAGTGAGTATTCCCACAACACTGGCTCCTTGGGTTGGCTGCACCTGCATCCAGGGGTAAGGTTACGAATGACAGAACAGTACTGTAACAGTTGTTATACAAACTTATAAACACAGTGCTGATTTAGCGACTGTGTAAGTTTGATTCCACTAAAGAAAAGCCAAAAGCTGGTAGTATTTCACTTGAGCCATCTGTAATCCTAACATAAAAAATCAAAGGAGCATCTGGTTTAAATTATTTTTACTGCACAAAACATACTAGAAATATTACTGTTATTTCTGCCATATTGCACTTTTTCTGATCTGTGTTATTACATAAATAGATAGGTAATAGTTTATTGATCCCGAAGGAAATTAGTTTTTTGGCAGCAACAATGGAATGGGGTTGTGTTTTGTTTGATTCACCCATGTTTAACACGCAAACCCTCCATATTTAGACTGAGTTCTTCTCTCAGACAGAAAATACTCTGTTCCACCTTGTGATGTCATGTAATACACCGTGTGTGATCATTTCAGCTCTGGAATTGTAAGTCTCTACTGCACACAAGGTAAAGTGTAGCTGTAAACTTGACAGCACAAGGTTGAACAGAGCATTTTGAGCTTGAAGATGTAGACAGACTAAAGATTACTCAAACATGTGTGAATGAACCAAAACACAACTCTATGTATGTTTTTGAGGAGGTAATAGCATTATACTATGCCGTAAAGAGTCAGTTTTGTACAATGTAGGACTTTCATTGTTACTTTAAAACTTTACATAACACTTACAAAGATTCTCACAGTTTCTAATGTGAAATCTGTACTCATTCTCACCAAACCGTGCAGACTTTCATCCACCCTTATGCCAGCTTGTGTATGTGAGCCTATTGAGAGTGTCATGATGAAGTGAAGTCATTCCAGCACAGCCCTTTACACACAGGCCTGTTCAGATAAGAGGCTACTATTACAAGTGAAATAAAGAGGCGAGGAGGGGGGCAGGGGAGGAGCGGGCTTCAGACCTGGAGAACATCTGCTCCTCTCTTCCTCCCCACCCTGCCCCCTCCCTCACAGTGAACAACAGCACAATGTACCCCCTACCCCATTTGCCCTGTGTGTGCATTTGTGCTTCCAGGCACAGGCAGCCAGCACACAGACACATTTGAGAATAGTTTTGTGAATGGAAGGTTCCTCTGTATGGGGAGAGAGTAGCATGGGAATTACATTAAATTAAACAGAAATCGACCACATTGTAAGTAGACGAGTGAGGACCACCGCTAAGGCATTGTAGTTCTAGTTAGATTGCAGTCTGCTAAATATACTGCGCATGAAATACTTTGAAATTATTCCTTAGACTGATTTTGGCCTTTTTAGAAAGTATATCACTGATCACTGAGTCCTTTCAGAACAACATTAACTCTTTCTTCATACATTTAAGAACCTTTATTTTAGACAAAAAATGCAAAGAAGAAATACAACATTAGAGATAGTTAATACTTGACTTGACAATGATTGTTTCTGAACTATAGCATATTATAGCAAATCCAAACTCTTGGCAATGTAGTTCTTGTAGTAATTCACCATAGTTGCCAAGTCTGCCTCTTTATAGTGACTTTGGGTTTATTTTTTAGGAAAGTCACATGCACAAGAGTGTCTTTGGGCTTGCTCTTTTGAATCATTTCCAGTTCTGTTTGATGTTAATAGACTCAATAATAACCATTTACAGTTTATGGTAATGACTGGAAAACAAGCTGTTAATGTTGTTATTGATGATAAATATGCAAATATAAAACATGCGCATCTCATTAGTGATTGTTTCATTGAGACACACAATGTTTAACTAGTTTCTCCTATTTGGGGCTTCTTTTTGTTGGGGTTGGGTGTGTTGAGGGCTTTCTTCCAAAGGCTTGGTCATTTGTTGCTCTTTAAAAATCTGGCAACCCTGATGAGTACTTAACGATCCCAGTTTACTTTTTTACTTATTTCTGAGATTTTAGTATATGTTCTGTGTGTGTATTTTTACTTTTACTAGCATTAACTTTTATTTGTTACTTTTTAAATCTAGAGAAACAAAAAATGTGTGATCAAAGACAACTAAGTATTAGCTTTTATAACAGCAAATTGTGCAACAGGAAGCAGGATGTTTCTTTTTGCGTCTTAATTACTGTTTAGGGCATTGTAGCTTTGCATAAGAAGCTACAGTCTTTTAAATACTGGGGTGAATAGGGTTGAGTCAGCCACATCTGTCACAAAGATACAAGGTGGTTTGAAATGCAGGTACTGAATGAGTCCTTTGACAGCCCAGTAGTTTTCAAGGACAAAAGTGCAGTTAAATCACAGATAATGCAGCTGTTAAATGCTTTACCTAACTGATATGACCACTAGTATGCTGTTGATTCAAAGGGTGAATCTTCTACTGAATGAAAGTTTGTAAAAAATTAAAAACCCATTAAACACATTTATCATTGTCTGTTTACAGATCTCTTGTGTTCGCAGCTATTGGTGATCAGTGGTGCATTAAAGGGCCCATATGACGCTATTTTCTTATCTGTGTTATAATGTTGTTTCCTCATTCCTCAAACATACCTGAAGTTATATTTTGTTTCACTGACACATGTTTAACTCTCAGATCCTGCATATTTAGGCTGAGTTCTTCTCTCAAACCGAAAACACTCTGTGATGTCACGTGGAAATACAGGAAATGCAAAATTTTTAAAACTCTATACACCTTCATTTGAACCATTTGGAAAATTTCAGACCTGGAATTGCCAATCTCTACTCAACTGAAGGTTAAAGGAGTTGTTAACTTGGAAAAATGCTGCCTCATAACAACACAAGGTGGAACAGAACAGCTTTTGAGCTTTGGAAATCTAGACTAATAATAAAGGATGTGTGAATGAAAGAAAACACAATTTTGGGTAGGTTTGTGAAGTTTTTTCTAGCAGGGCTTAAACCTCACAAGACTAAATTTTGTGGAATATAGGACCTTTAATTTATGTTTTTATTTGTTGCTGGGTCAAAGCAAAAACTAGGTCAACTAATCAAAATTTTTAAAATCTTTTATAATCTATAATCTCAAACAAATAATAAAAACAGAATAACAAACACTTATTGGATGGATGATATAGATAATGGACTTAAATTGTCCCTCTTAATTTGTTCATCTTAATTTAACCAAGACTTAATCAAGACCTGACAAACGATATATCTTAAAATTAGAAATAAAACAAGAATTCAGTACTTGATTTCCAAATATTAAATTTATTGCCAGAAAAGAATGGTACCACGATTTGAGAACCAATGGAAGGGCATTTGTGCCTGATCATTATGCTAATCCATGGTTAGTTAGTGAGTGAATAGACGTGATACCGGAGTGACTGTGCTGGAATGTCTGTATGCGCATAAATACATAACAACTATGACTCCGTGCTTTGGCTTCCTCACGTGCACTCAAAAGCCACTAGCATCTAGGAGCACTGCACAGTGGGGTTCTACATGCAGGGCAAAGGCCGTCACCCGACCTACGACCTTTGACTCCTCCCCCCTGCCCGCCCCTCATGCCCTACGCTCTCCTTCACTGGAATTCACTCCTGCAGATTCAATTAGAAATGCAAGACAGAGGAGAAAAGAAGTTGGCTTCAAAACAAGATAACAGTGACAAATGTCCTATAGCACATGGGAGTGGAAAAACAGACAATGATTTTGGTCATGCCACTGAGGAAGGCAGGAGAAGGCATCAGGAAGGCATTTGGGGATTGCATTGTGGAAGGGTAAAGTGGTAAACAAAAGTCAGCTGTGTGCGAGTGTGGAGGGAGGTTTAGCCATGAGGCCATTGTAATAGAACGGTATTGATAAATCCATACTCTGAATAAGGCCTGTCACGATAACATATTTTGAAGTGTGTTATATTGTGGCAGTAAATATAGTCAATAAACAATAATATTCAAACCAAACCATAAATCTGAATCATTCACAAAAATCTATATGTGATATTGTTGAGCTGCAACGAATACATAGCAGCAACACTTAAAGGTTCACTGTGTAACTTTTTGGTGGGGGTCTGCCACATGGGAAGTCTTCGCTGAGATGGTATTTCTCTGCATGCAATGTTTCACAATATGGCATTAAATCTATCTAACTAGCATTTATGAAATATAGGTTTTATAGGATTTTATTGCTAAAAAATTCCTGTGTGGGGTAGCCTTTCCACAGATCTGACAAGTAACATGGCCTGATGGTGTCATCTGCTTGTCTTTAGTTTATTGCTATTCTAGAGAAAGCAACAGCATCTCCTTAGAGACAAGTGATGGCGGACCCTCGACCAGAAAATTGCACAATGCACCTTTAAGTCATTTTATTGTACAGTTCAAGTTCATAATTCAACCTTCTACAGCTCAAATCTTACCATATTTCAGAAAAAATGACCGAAAACTCCCTATTAGTATAAAGAAAAAGTTCCACCTAACATATATTAAAGTCCATATAGTAATTATTTTGACAGGCGTACTTAGAATACTATAACTGGATAACAAAAATATAAAAAGGGCTTGTATTTGCATCACTTAGAATGGAATAATCTTGGGGATTAATGTAACATAATGGGAAGTCATCACATCATACAAATGTTCTCATATTATCAGTTGTTCAATTTGTTGCCCAGCATGTTTTAAACTCATGTTCTAAATGTTGACATCGGTATTTTCATAGACACTTGTTGATTCTTTCCTGTTCCCTCTATCTCTACGCTTCCCTCTGCTGGATCAAAAATGAATTGCAACATAGGCTAAATTGTACAATAATTACTTTAACATTTACTTGTATTTGAATAAACTGTGCTTCTAAACATACAGGGTTTTTATGCTTTAATAATCTTACAAATTCCAGTTGATGTCAACAGGTTTAAAGGTACAGTATGTAACTTTTGGGAAGTGTCGCTTGCCTGATTCCATGGAAATTTAAAAAAGAATTTAAAAACATACTTCTCCAATTCTCCATGGAGATAGATACATTTTATGCCATATTGTGTAAAGTTATAGCTAAAGGAACAATATTTCCATGGAAACAAGCAGGATGAGGACTTCCTCCAGGCCAAATAAGAGTCAGGTTTGTGAAGATGTAAGTCCACTCAGAGTAAGGACACAAGTTTTTCAGTGCAATAAACTAACTTTTCTTTTTTTGGCTAAAGGTTACATATTGGAGCTTTAAGCTGAGTTTATATATTTTTGTTCATAGTTTCTTAATAATGCAGTATACATATAGCCTGATACTTCAGTGCACTTTGTAATAATGCAAATTTATGGGTTTCAGTATTTTGGATGATAGGACATTTTGTTTTAAATTGCTATAGCAATGGTCCTTGTTTTTCATTGTTTAGAAATACATGGATAAATATGTCACCGCTAGTCTACAGCACCACAAGGAGGAGCTATTCTACCAATTTACTCTTCCTCTAGTACTGGCAGATTTGACTAACTTCCCCATTTACCACATAAGCAGGCAACACATTACTTTCATTATCTTTAACATATACAGGAAACAGGAGTAAAAGGATTTGCCTAGCATATGGTGGTACACTCCTTTTATGGAGCAGGTCCATATTATGTGTGTTAGGAAACAGTTCCTGGAGATCAGCGTTGCACCCAAAACAAACAAGCAGCTCTTTGTTTCAACAACAAAGACCTAGGTTATACTGAATAATGCTGATGCCATAGACCTACATGTGCTGCAGAGCTGAAGTAATGCTGTTAAATTATTATCTGTATTCTTAATGAACCCCCACACAATACCAATACAATTTGCCACTCAAGTAAAATGTTTACGATATTTAAGTTAAATTAAGTACACCACAACCAGGGTTACTTGTAGTATCACCAGTGCTAGCATTAGTGGTTAAATTTGTAGTAGCCATGGCAGCAGAGAAGAAGTAATAACAGTAGCAACAGCATAGTAATAATGATAATTTACAATCTACTATCATTAATCCCGTTTGTATTTCTCTATATAGACAATGAATTAGAAGAAGCATCTGCAAAGAGAAAGATGAGAAAGAGAAGAGAGAGGCGATTTCCATTTGAAAATTCCACTGTATACCAAAGGTAACATAGAGCTTGCAAGCAAAAAAAAGTCTCCTAATGTTTGGTCTTTTTTACTCTTTCATGTGGTCTGCCCTAGTTTTTCTGTGACTTAAGTTACTGACTGCTATTTTTGAAAACAGCACCACCTTGTGACAAAATGTTAACATGGCAATAGGTCTAATCACCAATAAACATTTAACAGGAAATCAGTTTCACCTGGTTATATAATATCATTTATTATGCCACCATGATAAACACGCTGTGACATCACTAGTCTGAATTCCAGGGAAATCTCAAAAGAGGCATGGTGAAATCGTGCTGACGTGACAGTCTGTTTAATCTGGCCCTGTGTTTATGTATACAGAACATTGCTGCGTGCATATTCCATCATTATCACTGACCCCATCCCCCATAACACTCACACAACAGCAAACAAGGTTATCACAAACTCCATTAGACCCAGAGTTCAGGTTTAAGGAGTTCTTCTGTATTCATTCTACTCCCTTTGCTTCAGCACTTTGGTATGTCATAACAATATTGCTAATAATGCAAAGGCCATTTATTTTATAATGTCTAGTTTCTTATGCAAGGTTTTGTAGTATAAGTGTAAACAGTAAGTTATGCATTAGTTGGTGGACTGTTCGACCACTGTACCAAACATGTTGGCTTGAGAATGTGAAGACCTATTGAAGACATTTTATCTGTCCTCCAAAAATCTTTCCTATACTTATACTATACTTATGCTTATACTAATACTAATACTTATACTTTTACTTTTACTTATACATGCCTAGTGTGTGCAAGTGTAAACACAGCCAATTAGGAAAATGGATTGTGTATTGAAAGAAGAGGGGCCTTATCTGGAAGACTTTGCCCATCTACATTGCCTTAAAACAAGCAGAAGTATAAAAGTATGTAAGCAGGTATGAATTAATACTAAAACTAGTATTGAAACTAGATACTCATTGGAGCAAGTACTGATACTAAAAAAAAATTGCATTCGCAGGACAGAAATGAACACGTATGAGAGCACATAGACTAGTATATGCCCATGGACCTCTATAGAACCTACCTGGACGACTGAGGAATTACCAAGATGTAAGGCTACATGGTAATATAAAAGAAAGTACTATGATTTCATGTTAAAAATCACATTCTGTTGTGAGTTTTTTCATTGTAATCGAATTTAGAATCAAAATCGAGTGAAATTTTAGTATTGTGACTAAGGATGCAATATCATATCGGATTTTGGCGCTGACACTGGTATCGGCTTCAGAGTGTTGGTTAAATCGATATTCTGTAATCAATGTAATAAGACTATTTACTGTTGTTAGTTGGTACAGAAAAATCACATAATGTTTGAACTTTTATTGACACAAAGTTGCTCCATAATACATTTGAACCAGTTGTGTCTTATTTTACTTTCCATTAAAGGAAATTAAATACAAATTGGCAGATGCTTGAAGCTATAGTATCGAAATCTATATCTGAAATGAAAAAACTGGATCGGTGCATCACTAACTAGCACATATATCACATCACGATTGGAACTATAGTGGAACTAAACCCGAAAACTAAACTAGAACATGACAATCAGGACTAAGCCAAGTCTACACCAGGACTAAACTAGAATCAAACAAGGAACGCACCGGAACTTGTGTAAACGCAAGAGAGAACTATCTTAGTGTTTTAAGATGATGTTACTTTTTATGCAACTTTAATTGGTCATAATTCATATTATGTCATTGTCATTGTCCTGTAGATAATGTATTCAGGGAGTGTTCACAGACAGAGTTAACTTCCTCTCAGTAGTTTTCAGTAGTTTCCATGTTTTGCACCAGTCTGCCAGTCCAATGCCACTGAATCATGGGAACGAGATTTGCGTGAATGCCAAAATGCTGAGTACACTGGGCTTTACTGGTACAAAGTGTAACCAGTATAATGCAAAGAGGTATTATTTTTAGAAATTCTCATAACACTATACAGTCAAATCAGGTAAGCCACAGCTGTCTGGATGTTTGCATGAGCCATCACTTTGGCGACATATGACATGAGTTGGGAAGTCACATTATACTACGCTTGTACTGTTATTTATATTCACATTCGGCAAAAAAGTTAAATATTATGTTGACTTGTAAATGTAGTGAAATTGTAAAATATGTAAAATAGTAATAATAATAATAATAATAATAATAATAATCAGTGAACTAATTTTAAGACAAAGTACATTATGTTTTCAATCTTCAATAGCCTAATTTTTGTGGCAGTTTTTTGTTTTTAAATGCAGCACTATAATACTATCATTCAATTGCATAACATGCATTTTATCTAAAACCTCAAAAATTCCTTATTGTTTCTATTTTTGTGGACAGTTTTGACTTATATCAAAATCAAATATTTACTAGATATGATGAACCTGGAAATGCATAATATTTCACTTTAAACCAGCTTTATGGTACATAGGCATATTTTTATGTTTTTAACTACTGGTATAGCTTCAAAAAAGAGGTGGTGTTTAGAATATTGTTAATTCATCAAAAACATGCCTGGAGTTGTGGTTTGTTTCATTCACACACATTTAACACTGCATTAATAGGCCAGGAGTCTTTAATGTAACAGCTACCTTTTACCTTTTTTTCAGTAGAGATTGACAATTCCAGAGGTGAGAGTATCCAAATGATTCTGGTGAAGGCATATGGAGTATATAGATACTGTGGAGCACTTTCTGTATTACCACATGACATCACAAGGTGGAACGGAGTGTTTTGAGAGAAGAACTTGTGTATTAAAAATGCCGAAATGAAACAAATGCAACTCTGGGTATGTTTTTTTTTTTTTTTTAAATGAAGAAACAACGTTCTAACATCTGGGAATATATAATAACAGGGGCCCTTTAAAGCAATAATACCATGATGGAAAGTTAGTGAACCAAATCCCAACAAAAATATTCAGCATATGTAAATTTTCAGTTTGGAAATTTCTTTCAACAATGGTAAATTACCTATTGTTATAAATCCCCAGTCCTTTATCTGACATGATGACATCAAACTGTACAATGTCCTGACTGCAACCTATTTGAATAGTAGTGTTTGAGGAGGATGAAGTCAGTGTTGTTATGTGTAAATGTCTCTAGGTGATGTGATTCTTTCTCTAACAGGCCCTCTCCTCTAATGTAAACATGATGTCATATGGCCCAGAGATTTTACATTCTCCAGAGAACAAACAGCACTGCAGTGGGGAGATGGCACAGCTCCGCTAACAACTACCACCTCTGAAATCCCCCATGCACTTCTGTCCCATAATAAAACCATGTCTTTTGTGGCAGACAAAATCATTAGCGTCATTGTATTCACTACTTCCTTGTTTTTGTTATGGGCACTTATACATGTAAACAACTCTAATAAATTAATCATTTCCTTAAATTTGAGGTTAGGCTCCTTCATAACAAGACAGAGTAACTTTCCACAGGTGCTTTTGACTGTTGGGCCAGTGAAAGTATATACATAAAAAGTTCTAATGTTAGAGAAAGCAAAAGACTAAACTAAACCATATTAGGAGTACAGATACATTAGCAGATATACTTTTTGTACATATTATTGCTTAACTTTAACACTATTAGTCCAGTATTTAAAGATTAAATAGAGATTAAATATCTTCAAAGATGCAGTACTGACATAGATTCCAGCTGGCTTTACTTGAACTGCAAGTATAATCACACACGGTGAAATTCATCCAAAGCAAAGCACTGGTAGTTTTTGTTGCCAGAAAATTACTTAAAAAACAAAACAAGACAAAACACATACACAAAAGTACAATTGTAAATATAATGATTAAAAAAATAAAATAAAATACAGAAAGTGGTAGCAGCTTGCTTAGCTACTGTATGCCAATGCATGTATACCATACTGTCAACTAAAAGTAAGAGATATATCAAAAAATATATAATGTTGTAAGTGCTGTCCTGGAGATATACAAAATTATAAAATCAAGTATACTGTCTATAAGAAACTGTTGAAACGGGTAGTAGAAAGCTGAAACTTGAAATGTACCGCATTATTCACTGCTGTTTTTGTTATGTTTGACCCCCATCCTTTTTCACATAACCCAAGAGGCCAAAGGGTCCCCATTTAGACTATTATTTATTATTACTACTCAGTCAAAATATTTTAATGTGGATATTCAGGAATGTTATCAAACCTTTTAAACGCCAGGCCTTCATCTTTCTTAAACTTCCTCTTCGTCACTTTTCCATGATGCTTATTTTGACAAGGCCCAAATTCTGCTGCCCTGTGCACTACTCTGGTGTCAGTCTGGTATGTATTCCTGGGAGGGCAGCCAAGGGTAAATACACACACTCCATACTCATGCCTTTCCTTTCAATAACCGACCACAGCATACACATACATACACGTACACACACGTACACACACACCTCTACTGCTTAAACTTCATTCTCTGCCCACCTGTTTAAACACTGCAGTATATGCATATGCCCGAGTAACAGAGGCCCTTTATACACCGGGCGGCTCCAAGTGTGCTGTGTCATGAATCGGTTCTGATTTTAGCCCTGAACTAAAACCGCTCGAGCTGAAATAACATGAACTAAAAGAAAACAGCTGAGTGACAATATAACGCCCTCTCAGTGCTGAAATCTTTGAGCTCGGAGTGGTGTAGATCCAGGTAAGGGTCTTGAAAGCAGAATGCATACAATAAATGTTATGCATTATAAATAAAAGACTGATTCTACTCATTAATTAATAAAAAAAATTAAATAATTGGAAAAATTTTCAGACTGCAGGAACAAAGTATTTCATTGTAGTGCATTTCACAGTAATGAAAACAAATACATACAATACATGGGATAGAGTAGGAACAAATAGATCCTAAATACAGTTGGAAAAAAGTTAGAAAAAAGGCAAGAATATAACTGTTGTGCAACCTCTCAAATAAGATCAATTAAAAAAAAAAAAAAGAAAGTGAGTTAGAAGCCTTATAAAACTGTTGTGGATTATTAATGGCACTTACAAATACAAAATAAAACTGTATTGTTGTTGTTGTTTATAACAGAACACAGGATTGTCTGCTGAGAATGGTTATGAAGAGAACACTCCACCCAGGAAGATCAAGACTTCGCCCATGGATAGGACCCACAACCCACTGAATGGCAGGTAAGAACACAAACAGTCCTGTTACCACACATAGAATAACATATAACCCACTGTGGCTGGTCTCATGTTTTGTTTAGACATTTTATGACATTTGATAACTCAAAACCAAACCTGGATCAACTATCTTCACTTCGTTTTTGTGGTAGCACATCCTCATTATTAGGCATTGGTTCATGACTTCAGCTGTTATTGCATTCCTTATTAAGTAAGAGGCCTTTGAAACGGGAAGTGTGGAGTGTAAAAGGAGAAGTGTGATCACGAAGCGGAAGCGTGCTGAGAACATGCGATGGGCCAGGCCTGTTGTGAAAGATCTGTTTAAGAATACAAACAGATGTGAAACTGTCTGAGGGAGTTTTTGCCGCTGCCCAGCGCAAACACATACACACGTACATACATGCATATACAGGCACCGCTCTGACACAACCACCTTCGTCAGCCATTTCAGCCACGACAGGGGTTGTCATGGTGATTGGTAAATAAATGTATCTTCATCCAGCCTTATCAATTTTTAGTTTGAAACATAGCATAAATATGGTATAGCTGCTTACATATATTTAAGGAAAAAAAAGTTTCTTGCAGCAAGACAAATGACTTCAGGTAACTGGATGGACTTTTAAAGGGCCCATATTAGTATTATGTTTTCAGATCTATGTTATAATCTTATTTACTAGAATTATTTGGATAATTTCAGCCCTGGATTTGCCAATCTCTACTGGAATAAATGCAAAAGGTTGCTGTTATCCTGGAAACTACCACTACATGAAATCGCAAGGTGGAACAGAGCATTTTGAGTTTTGGAGGTGTAGATAAACTAACTCAAACATGTGTGAATGGGACAAAACACGAGGAGGAGGAGGTTACAGCATTATAATATGGTTTAAAGCTCATATGATTCAATCTTGTGTAATATAGGACCTTTAACGGTAGTAATAAAAGAATCTGTCTCTCTCTGTGTCATCCCTTGGCCAAACTAACCACTGTCCATCCGGGCTACACCCAAGCTTTTTTGACCTGTGGTGGAAAATGTCAAATACATCAACATGTCAGAATAGAAATGTCTTATGTCTAACACAGGAAGCTATGTGACTATAGTGCTCTAAATAAAATGCCCAAGGTGTTGAAATTAACCATTGTCATTTCCTTTGACTTGATATAAGCACCTGAGTGGGGTCCTGAAATGACGTGTACGACCACATATATAGGGTATTGCCATATTTCACTTTCACACATCTTGCCCACATCCACAGCCCCCTCTGTCTCGTCCTTTTTGTGTTCCATGATTGCATTTATTCCAAGAAAGGACAAGAAGAATTCGGTCGTTGTCTTGGTCAGTAGAAATGTACTAAGGCAATAATAGTTGAGTCCAAGTATATATTTTGGTTCCAGACAACAGCTCACACATGGCAGTTCTGCTTCTCTGCTTTCACTTCTTGTTTTGGAAATGAGGAAGAACATCAACAATAGTTGATCCATTAGGAACACAATGTACAAAAATATGAACATAAGGCATCGAGTTTCCTCTTGATCACGTTAAAATCCGGAGAGGCCATTTTAATGAGCGTCGCTGTTTTGATTTCGCAAGTTCCAATATACCATAAGCCTATTATAAATTAGATATGAGGTACAGAGGAAGATTACAAATTGAATTTTTATTGTATTAAAAGCGTGAAAAACAGACTGCTACGGTCTAAACTTGCTAACATCATAATTATTCACTACAATGAGTTTATAAGCACTTCACAACTTCCAGAGGGCTGTTTTACTGTCATGGTAATGCTATAGGAACAACTTACAATATATCTGTATTGGGACACAAAAAATTCCTACTTGTTTTGATCTTTTACGTAAAAACTACAACAGCTCACAATATATTTATAATATGAAGCTAATAGAACAGTCAGTACAACAAAGTCTATTGCCATTTAAAGCTCTACTTTATAAATATCAGCATGAATAATAAATGACGCACATGCATTTTTGTACTTTTACTTTTAGATCCATGTTACAACCGTCATAGCTGAAAGTAAAAGTGGTGAAAAGCAGTGAAAGGAAAAGAGAAGTGCTCCACCGGCCTGCTGTTATTGTTGGTACAGGGCAGGGGCTTTATAGGGATTTTTTGCTACCTCTTAACTTCACCCTATGTCCCCTCCCCCGTTCCTTTGAGTGCGTCACACTTAGCAGCGTTTGGCGCAGGAGAAGTACAGCGGGAGGGAGAGCGAGGAGGAGGAGGCAGGCCCCACTGACTTCTGCCACCAAGGAATGCAGCGCAGAGAGAGAATATGGCTATAAAAGGCCCGCACTTCCACTCGGGCCGCTGTGATGTCACTGCACAAATATTTCCTCCTTCCTTCCCTTCCAGAGCTCTCTACTGACACGGCTGTTTCTTCCTAATTTCTCTCCTACACTAATCTAGGACAGAAGTAAAAGTTTGTGTTTTGGTGTGTGGGTGAAACTATGAAGTAGGCCAAGGATACTGTTACGTATGTAAACATTCAAACAGAGGCCTCATTGTACTTTATTCAGCCTTGCAACACTGTGCAGTCCTTAGGGGAATCTGCTGCCTATGCATTACTCTAAGCTGTGCACTTCCAACACTAAATAGTCAAGGTTTGATAAGAAACTGGTGAATTTTAACTGAATTGAGATTGTATCATTTCAAATTCTTAAAGGTGCATTGTGTAACTGGAGGGTCCGTCAAATGCTTTTCTCCATGGACATGTTATTTCTTTGTCTGGAATGTTCCACAGTATGGTATTAAACCTTTCTATTTTCATGGAGACGAAACCAGACCAAGTTACAGGCCAGATCTGTGGAGAGGCAACCCCGCTTACAATTAAAATGCCTGTTTTTGTAGGTGTTTTGAGCTATAAAACCACCTGTAATTTAAATATAAGATAGAGCTTTAATGTCATACTGTGAAACATTCCAGACAGGGTAGTGACATATCCATAGAAACAAGCAGATGATGAACCCCCAAACAAAAAGTTACACAGTGCACCTTTAATTACAAGTTTGAGGTTTTTTAGTCTGCAGTTAATCCTTTGTTAGTAAAAGCATGTGGTTTGGACCAGAGTTCAGATGCTGGGGGGAATAAATGAAGTTGAATGACACACAT